GGCGGCTGTGATGGAGATGGTGGTGGCTGTGGATTGTTGGTGATTGCGGTGACTGTTGGTGGTAGTCGTTGCGGCGACGACGACAGCGATAATGGTAGGTTTGGGGATTTTTTTGGTTGGTGGTGGTGTGGTGGAGATGGTGGTCACAGTGGCGAATAGTATATGGTGTAGTTGTTGTGGTCGCGACGGTGGTGGCGTTTACAGTAATGGATTTCAGGAGGTGGCGGTGGTGGTACAAGCGACATTGGTGGTTATGTTACTGTTGGCGGAGGTGGTGGTCACAAATTGTTTCGTTAATTGTGACCAATAAATTGGTTGGCATGGTCAATAAACAATATGTGAGCAATGAAAAAAGATAAATTATGACCAAAAAATAATGTGACCTAAAAAATTGTTAATATGTGACCGATAATTTGTAACTGTCTGATAAGTTGTGCCTTATAATACTTGTGATTTGTGACTGATAAATAAATTGTGTCGTATAAATTTTTTATTTGTGATCGATGAACAAATTGTGACTTACAAATTTTTTGAATTGTGACCGTAAAATAATTCGTGACATAAAATTTGTGATTTGTAATCAATGAATAATATATGACTTATTAATTTGATATATTTGTGATCGATGAATAAATTGTGATGTATAAATTTTTGATTTGTGATCCATAAACAAATTGTGACCTATAAATTTTTTGAATTGTGACTGTAAAATAATTTGTGACCAATTATATAGAATTTGTGACCAAATTATATGAAATTGTGACCTTAATATATTTAATTAATAAAATATATGTTTAATTAATTTATTTATAAATAAAATTTGAAAAGTCTGAGATTTGAAATTTTAAATCCTGATCTCTTAAATTTGAAATTGGTTAAACTTAACATCTTACTTATGTAATCTTCCCTTGAAATTACGCTTTCAAGTTTCTTCGCGGATCGGGTCGATTTGGATGAATTTGGTCAGCTTGGATCCTAAATTGACCCGGCTCGCATTAGTTAAAATATATATGCACTCGAATTCATCTTCCAACCGACCCGATATGGGATGGGTCGGAATACGGGTTGATGATTATTTGCCCCCTCCTACACACACAATGAAACAAGAGCACTTGTAGAAATCTTCCTAAGCGAAACCAATAAACGGAACGCCAAAATGAACCTTGAGTGCTTGGCAAATAGTAGAATTTAAAGCAACTAAATCAACATTTACAAAGTATAATGAATTGCACTTAAAAGTTAATTTATTTAAATGGTAAAAGTGAAAACATTATTTTAAGTACACATTTTGTATGATAAGACTTCAATTTTATCCAAAAAGGTGGTTTTATGATTGAAAAAGTAAATTTGAAAATTGTTTTATAATATAAAAGTAAGTTTACATGTAAACACAGGAAGTAACAATATCCATAACGCACCTGTCTAGCTCTATTACGTATACGGGGAGCTCCTCGTACGTTGTTGTCACAAACTTTTGTCTTGACAGTCTTAATGTTCATAAAGTAGGAAAGGAATGACAACGAGACATGACTAACATTAAGGGCGTGTTTGGTTGCATTTATTTTTTATGAAAAATGTCAATTTTTCATCCAAATTCCTACTTTGAAGTGTTTGATTAGTATTTTTTTTCTATGAAAAATATTTTTCAATTTTCAAAAATATGCCTAATTTTTCTTGTTTTAAGGAAAATATTTTTTTTTTGGAGGAAGTATGTTTTTGTTTTCCTTAAAATAAGGAAAAATATTTTCTTTTCTAAAATATATTTTTCATGCCGATCAGACTCGCTCTAAAATAAGTCAATTTAATGCTCGATTATTTACTCCTTTTACTTATTTTTTTTAGCCCGATTTCAAGCACACATTATTCAATAAAATAATAATACATGTAAATTCAAAAAATTTCATTATTTTTTAACCACATATTCTCTATCATAATACTATTACAAATATGGAGATGGTGGTGGCTGTGGATTAGTGGTGATTGCGGTGACTGTTGGTGGTAGTCGTTGCGGCGACGACGATAGCGATAATGGTAGGTTTGGGGATTTTTTTGGTTGGTGGTGGTGTGGTGGAGATGGTGGTCACAGTGGCGAATAGTATATGGGGTAGTTGTTGTGGTCGCGACGGTGGAGGTGTTTACAGTAATGGATTTCAAGAGGTGGCGGTGGTGGTACAAGCGACATTGGTGGCGTTTACAGTAATGGATTTCAGGAGGTGGCGGTGGTGGTACAAGCGANTGTGGTCGCGACGGTGGTGGCGTTTACAGTAATGGATTTCAGGAGGTGGCGGTGGTGGTACAAGCGACATTGGTGGTTATGTTACTGTTGGCGGAGGTGGTGGTCACAAATTGTTTTGTTGATTGTGACCAATAAATTGGTTGACATGGTCAATAAACAATATGCGAGCAATGAAAAAAGATAAATTATGACCAAAAAATAATGTGACCTAAAAAATTGTTAATATGTGACCGATAATTTGATAATTTGTAACTGTCTGATAAGTTGTGCCTTATAATACTTGTGATTTGTAACTGATAAATAAATTGTGTCGTATAAATTTTTTATTTGTAATCGATGAACAAATTGTGACTTATAAATTTTTTGAATTGTGACCGTAAAATAATTCGTGACATAAAATTTGTGATTTGTAATCAATGAATAATATGTGACTTATTAATTTGATATATTTGTGACCGATGAATAAATTGTGACGTATAAATTTTTGATTTGTGATCGATAAACAAATTGTAACCTATAAATTTTTCGAATTGTGACCGTAAAATAATTTGTGACCAATTATATAGAATTTGTGACCAAATTATATGAAATTGTGACATTAACATATTTAATTAATAAAATATCTGTTTAATTAATTTATTTATAAATAAAATTTGAAAAAGTCTGAGATTTGAAATTTTAAACCTTGATCTCTTAAATTTGAAATTGGTTAAACTTGACATCTTACTTATGTAATCTTCCCTTGAAATTACGCTTTCAAGTTTCTTCGCGGATCGGTTCGATTTGGATGAATTTGGTCAGCTTGGATCCTAAATTGACCCGGCTCGCATTAGTTAAAATATATATGCACTCGAATTCAACTTCCAACCGACCCGATATGGGATGGGTCGGAATACGGGTTGATGATTATTTGCCCCCTCCTACACACACGATGAAACAAGAGCACTTGTAGAAATCTTCCTAAGCGAAACCAATAAACCGAACGCTAAAATGAACCAAGAGTGCTTGGCAAATAGTAGGATTTAAAGCAACAAAATCAACATTTACAAAGTACATTGAATTGCTCCTCAAAGTTAATTTATTTAAATGGTAAAAGTGAAAACATTATTTTAAGTACACATTTTGTATGATAAGACTTCAATTTTATCAAAAAAAGTAGTTTTATGATTTAAAAAGTAAATTTGAAAATTGTTTTATGAAGCAAATAATATAAAAGTAAGTTTACATGTAAACACATGAAGTAACAATATCCATAACGCACTTGTCTAGCTCTAATACGTATACGGGCAGCTCTTCGTATGTTGTTGTCACAAACTTTTGTCTTGACCGTCTTAATGTTCATAATGTAGGAAATGAATGACAACGAGACATGACTAACATTAAGGGCGTGTTTGGTTGCATTTATTTTGCATGAAAAATGTCAATTTTCCATTCAAATTTCTACTTTGAAGTGTTTGATTGGTATTTTTTTCTATGAAAAATATGCCCAATTATATAGAATTTGTGACCAAATTATATGAAATTGTGACCTTAATATATTTAAATAATAAAATAGCTGTTTAATTAATTAATTTGGATGACTTAAAAATATTTTTTTCTATGAAAAATATGCCCAATTATATAGAATTTGGTCACATATTAAATTATGTTGTTGTCACAAACTTTTGTCTTGACCGTCTTAATGTTCATAATATAGGAAAGGAATGACAACGAGACATGACTAACAGAAAAATATGCTCAATTATATAGAATTTGGTCACATATTAAATTATGTTGTTGTCACAAACTTTTGTCTTGACCGTCTTAATGTTCATAATGTAGGAAAGGAATGATAACGAGACATGACTAACATTAAGGGCGTGTTTGGTTGCATTTATTTTTCATGAAAAATGTCAAATTTCCATCTAAATTCCTACTTTGAAGTGTTTGATTGATATTTTTTTTCTATGAAAAATATTTTCCAACTTTAAAAAATATGTCTAATTTTTATTTTTTTTTAAGGAAAATATTTTTTTTTTTTTGAGGAAGTATGTTTTTGTTTTCCTTAAAACAAGAAAAATATTTTCTTTTCTAGGATATATTTTTCATGCCGATCAGACACACTCTAAAATAAGTCAATTTATTGCTCGATTATTTACTCCTTTTACTTATTTTTTTAGCTCAATTTCAACCACACATAATTCAATAAAATAATAAAACATGTAAATTCAAAATTTTTCATTATTTTTTAACCACACATTTTCTATCATAATACTATTACAAAATGCATTTAAAAAAAAAAAAAAGAGGTTCAAACAAGCTCTTAATATTAAATTGTAAATAATTTAAATTTAAAAATATTAAATAAATAAAAATCACATAATAATTAGAGAATTTCCATATTTTAGGAGCAGCACGAGATGCATCCATACCGTGTAGTATGAGACGCAAAGAGCATGATAATAGTTATTATTTATACAAATGAAAGAAAAAAGGAGGAAATGATTTGTTCTTTTTCCCCAAATAGACACTTTACCGGTAGAACAGTTGGTGTCTGACCCAACAAAATTACAGTTGCCCTAGAAGACGACTCCGATTTACATCCAAAACGACGACGGTCTCAATTCGAACCCCCCAACGAGCTAGCAATAATCTGAAATCCTATTCCGCAGATCGCTAAAACGGATTTGCAAATCAAGTAGATCAATTCAATACCCACATATGAAGATAGCAATATGTATTAGTTGAGGTTTTGCATCGATATTTATTGTGATTTACTATAGAGATGAATGGGAGTCAGGGGACGGTGCACCCAGTGGAGGCGCCGCCGCTGCAGACGGAGAGGGCGAACGTGCCACTGCCGTGGAACAGGATGAAGGACCTCCAGGGCATGCCAGGGACTTTAGGAGGCCTCTTCTTGCGATTCTCTCAGATGTTATTCGCGGTGGTTGCGCTCTCGGTCATGGCCACCACCAGTGACTTTCCCTCTGTCACTGCCTTCTGGTAATTTCTCTTTACCACATACACGCATGAGAGAATTTTGTTAATAATTTAGTCCAATTTCAGCAGCTTGCTTTGAATTGTTTGGTAGGATGAGAGTTGAGCTGAATTATTTAAATTCAGTGATATTTTTAAGTCTTGCTGATATATTCAAGCGAAAATTGATGATAAAGGGTTCGATGTAGACTCACCCTCCTATTACGATCTTGGACATAGCAAGGTAAAGAAAAAGGCATGAGAAAAATAAAAGATAATATACTTGAGAGTTGAAATTGTTGTAAAAATGGTTTGAAATAGTAAAAGTAATATATTTATGCATTCAATACTATATTTGATGATGAAAACTGATGATAAAAATGGTGTTGCAAATGAAATATAATCCACGAATGATGCGTTGTCACTCACAGAAGTGTCATTAAATCGTAAGACGACAAGTGGTTGGTTATTTTGTCTATTAAAAGACATATCTTTAGAAAACATGTGGGTTTCTTAACTAACATATCTCTAGAGCTATAAATGTCATTCCAGAAGAGATTTATTTTCTATTTTAAGGCATCACATATGCCACGGAAGACAGACATTTTCTAAAGATATTTTTACAAAAGATGTATCTTCTGTGAGACAAATAGTTGCATTTAAGAAACATTATTTGAAATGTGAAAACAAACGCGTCTTTTGAGCCTAAAGATGTATCCTTTTAAATCACAAATGCTCTTTCAGGCAATCAATTTCGATGACTATAAAATATAAGTAGATCCCCTTCGATAGATTTTGCAACAATTTTGAGTCTGATTTTATTTTACTAAATTCTGTTTGCTCTATTTATTTGTTATACATAGCATATGTATATTATCCAACCATCTTAAGACATTTTATTTATTCATTATAATTATAATTGAGTGTGGCTTTCTTTTTATCGCAATATATCCAATATCACTAGTTTATATTAAATCAAGATGGCATCTAGATCTACTATTGTGACTCTTGTCAATAATGCCCTATGATTCACCAACACGGACACGTGTGTCTGACACGATATGTGTTAGATACACCGACACGTGATTTTTCAAAAAAGTATTGGCACGATACGTCGTCGACACGTTGTTTAAATTTTTTAAAATTCTTCATTTATATAGTATAAATTTAGTTTTATACTAGTTATTAATTTTTTTTTTGGTTTAATCTTTTAAATGAGTAATTATTTGTTATTAATTAATAACTTTGAGTTAAAAATATATAATATTTTTAATAAAAGAGAAAAATGTTTATGATATAGTGTTCAATGAGTGTCGGTATCGACATGTGTCGGATACGAATACGTTACTTTAGTTGAAATGTCCGTGCTACTGAGACAATGCCAGTGAAAGAGGGAAAAAAAATTCATTGGAATTCATTTGAAGAGGAAAATGTTGTCCCACCTTTTCTTACCTTGCTAAATTTGGCCTGGTACATACATGGTGATGTAGTACATCACAACTATAATTGATAGTTTCAATTTATCTAGGAGTTTGTCTTTTTTAAATTATCTTTTCTAATTTCTTTTAATAGTTGTAATAAGCTTATTCTTAAATCTTGATTAGATTATGATTATTTTATTTTCTTTAAAAATTAAGTATCCTTATTTTG